CACACAAGAAAAGCCTGGCAGGACCAAGCAGCTGTTGCTAGACTCTCCAGCTCATCATCGCTTTGTCACCAAGCCCTTTGGGGAGAGTTTCCTTGCAGTGACCGCTCATGGGAGCAGAGAGGGGAAGACCTGCTGCCTCCCTCATCCCCAGCCGCTGTCCTTGAGGACCCTCCCTCATCTGCCTCCTCCAGGCTGGAGATCACACAAGAAAAGCCTGGCAGGACCAAGCAGCTGTTGCTAGACTCTCCAGCTCATCATCGCTTTGTCACCAAGCCCTTTGGGGAGAGTTTCCTTGCAGTGACCGCTCATGGGAGCAGAGAGGGGAAGACCTGCTGCCTCCCTCATCCCCAGCCGCTGTCCTTGAGGACCCTCCCTCATCTGCCTCCTCCAGGCTGGAGATTCTTCTTTTCTACCCTGCAGCCCACATAGCTACGGCAAACAGACATAGCCCGCCTGCTAAAAAAAAAGGCAGCTGTCCCTTCACCCCCCTCATTTTCTTCCCCAGAGCAAGAGGGACAGTCCTTGCCCTTCTCCTAAGCAGGCATAATGGAGTAGCTGCCCCTCTTCTCAGTGGGTAGCCCTTTTCTAAGAGCCCCTGGGAGTCCAGGAAAATGTGAGTGGTGTGACCGGGGAGCCAAAATATCCTGGGAGAAAAACCTGCCATTCCTCCAGCAAGCCTGGGAAGTGCCAACTGTCCTGACCACCCTGGAAGGCAAAATTCCTCACACAGCCTGGAGGTTTCTGCTTCTCATTTCTGAATCATTCAGAAGGTGAAATACAGCTGCTCTGGCCCTGCTATGGTTCTTCCACCATGGCCCTACATGTGGGTTAACCTCTTTTCTGTGCCCTTCCACATTTCCCTGCACCAAGAGGTCTGAAGAGCACTGGGGTTTATCAGTCATCCTTTCAAACCTGAGCAGCCCCTCTGTTGTAGCACACTTTCCACTTCCCTCCTTGCCTTCCCACCTCCTTGCATCCCTCGTTCTGTTGGGTCCTTGCTCCTGCTTTGTGGAGTCCACACTCTGGGGCAGCAGGCATGCTGGGATCTGCAGCACCAGGGTGTAGCCTCCGACACACACCCCGGTAATCTGGTCTTACCTGCTGTTGACTCAGACAGCAGTGAGGAAATGCCGGGGCTTGCACTGCTCTTCCCCACAAGCTGAGCCTCCAAGGGACAGTGAGGGACAAAGGTGTGAGCCCACCTGGGCAGGGGGAGATGGAGTTCGCGGGCTGATGCACCGAGACACAGTGAGGTGAGTGAAGCTGGCTGGGTGAGGGATGCTGTGGCACAGGGGCGGGCTCACAGGCTAGGCTGAGTGCCACCATGTCCTCCTCTTCTGACACACACAGTAAAGCCAGGACTGCCAGGCTCAGCCAGGTGTGTGCACATGTGTGCAGGGGGTGAGGGCTGCAGGGGAGGGGAAAGTTCCCACAGAGGGTGTCAGAGACTCTTTTTGCAAAGGGAGAAGGAACTCCCACCCCTCTTGGTATATCTGCAAGCCTTTATTGGTACCAGAGCCTTGACAGGAACTGAAGAGACACAGAAAAGCTGTGAGAACAAAGATCCCAGCAGCTAGGAAGTGAGAAAGGGGGTCTGGTTAAAAAAGAGAGGCACTAAAAAAGGAGCAGGGTGAGATCAGTGGTTCGGGTGCTATTGTACCCTCTGAGGATTTATGAGCAGCAGGAACATATATCCCTTGGTGTGTCACTCCCTGAATGAGGAGGCAGTGACAGCAGAACAAGGGAGGCAGGGAGTGAGAAAGTCAAACACCAGCAGCAACAGCCAGCAGGCAGAGGAGCCGGGCAGGGGCTGCAGAGAAAGAGGGAGCCCACAGGCACGGCACCTTCTTCTCGGGGCAGCTGCTCCTGGGGAAGGATGACGGCAGGATTAGGAGTGTCCCCATGACCCGTGTCTTCTTGCAGGTGTGCTGGGACTGGTAAAGCAGAAATAGGACTTGAAGCAACAGAGTGCCAGATGGGCTCTGCAGAACGGCAGATCCCTTCCCAGCTACACCTGGCAGTGCTCGGTCGCAGATGTCCTGC